AGCCAAGGTACCTGTTTAAATCTGGATAAAAATCAAGTAAAGAATCCAATATTGCGCGTGCTTCTCCCATGTTTGCTGCATCCTTCTGAAGATGCTTGCTGACACTTTCAAAATCTTTCAATTTCTCCAAGACAGTTTGCAGCTGAATTTCTTCTGCCACAGAAAGTATGAAATCACGCAGACCTTCATCGTATATGTCAATAAATTCTTTCAACCGAAAGTGACTTTGAGTCATCTCAAACGTCGATGACCAACGGGTCGTTTTTCAATATTGGTCTCAAAGATGTCTTTCGCCGGAGTTCGGTAGAAAATTGCAAAATTGTCATTTTTTTCATATTATACATTATATGGAATATTTTTCCCATACGTTATTGCCCTGATAATATTAGCGCCCTCCAATTATTGTATGGTATGGTATGGCCATAATGGCCTAAAACAATTAAGGTTTGACACCCCTGGACCCAGTTGGCCGAAACGACTCAGTTGGTCGAAACGACGCAGTTGGCCGAAACAACCTAATGCGCTGAAAAAACCCAGTTGGCCGAAACTACCCAGTCGGTCGAAACGACACAGTTGACTGAAACAACCCAAGTGACCAAAATCGTCGTCAAGCAATTGATCTCTAAGCCGACAGAAAAAAAAGGAGTAGAACATGCCTTGTCAGGTATTCTGATTGTGGATTGTGGATGAAGTTCATCCAAGTTTTTTGTGGATTTTTCGCGACTTGTGAACGCCACTTCAAAATTTGTAGCTTTAAAAAAACCCAAGTTTTTGTTCAATTCTGTTAACTTGTTGATTTGATGCTACAATTTCTGATACGAGATTTTTTGATGGCAAAACCGTAATCCTCATTTTTTCTCGGTGTCAAAACCTGATCAGAAAATTTTCTGAGGTTTTTTAAGAAAAAGCGGCCCACAAACCTTAATTTTTATCCTAACCACTTGTATGTAAACTCAACCCCGTCTTGAAAACAAAGACAAATTTTTGGAGGGAAAAAATCTAAAACTTCGCAAAATTTTCAGAATAGCGCCAGCTCCGTAGTAAGTTAGTTTAAGTGATTGAGTCGAGTTTTTTCGCCCAAAATATGAACTTTCTGAGAAAAAATTTGGCAAAAACTTCAAGATGTGGCAAACGCATCAGATAAAAATAACTTTAAAAAATTTTGAGAACTTCCAAAAAGCAGCGTTTTTTGTTGAAACGTGATGTAGCAAACTGAACTATTTCAATTGAACTAAAATAGGCATATCAGAGCCCCATAGCGTATAATCAAGCATGTCGTCTTATTTTTTGCTACAACCTTGTTGGCTTGGGGTGTTGCGGGAGGTCAAGTCGCGATTTGTTTAACTGACTCCCTTTAAAACTTGGTTTAAATCTCCTAATGTTCATAACAGCTGCTACCTTGCTGCACCACGTTTTGAGAGTCCTTACGCCTTTCTCGCAAAAGCGGGTATCGCAATGGTGCAATTTCCGGGTTAAATTTCAACCATAACGCAATAAACGTCCGTAAAACTTGTCTGTATCAACTTGATCGCTATCTGTCTAACCGAAGCGACATTGTTATCCGTCACGACGCCGTTAATAACTCTATTAGTAGACACCGTGAAAATGTTACCGCATTAATACCTAATCAGCTTAACAAGATTCTTTTAGAAAATAAACATATTATTCACGCAATCGCTTACTGTAAACGTTTAGTCACGAAAGATATTTACATCAAGTTGAAAGAGTCAGGTATACAAAATATTAGTATAGTAACATTCCCGATATCTAGAAGGAAGCAGAACCTCACTGAGTTTTGGCGAAAGCATTCACAGTAACATCAGGATCCCTCGCTAGTAATGAAAACGTTTACAATCCTAAGGCGTTTTGGCAATGATATTAAGTATAGTAATTCAATGGAAAAAAACTCTAACCCAGGAAAACGCAAGCGGCAAGCTAGGAGAAACAGAAAAACTGCTAAACTACGAGTACAGATAAATGTTTCAAAAAAGAGTGATTTTGTTTCTTGATAGATAATCTAATTCTTGTGATACCAAAATTAAGGTGGGCAATTGAGTGGAATGAGCGAGTATATAAGTATTCAAAATTACAGAACAATCGGAGTTACATTAGCAAAATTTGATGAAAGGTAGGGCATCACTAGAAAAAGAACTTCCCGTAGCGCAGAGTCCAATAACTGAAATTTTTCAAGGTCCAGTTGAAAAACGAAAAGAAAAGTTTTAAACGAATCTTGCAAGAGCCTTCACGAAAAAGCATTAGCTACGAAAGATGAATATGTGGTATTAGTTAAAAAAGCTGATGAACCCAGCAAATCATTACCGGAGTTGGCTGCTTGATGCGACATGATACTTTGAGTAAACGATGAAGTTACCAGTAAAGCTCGCCCTCATTTGGAATCTAATCCGGCTTTAGTGGTCTGTGTCAGTGAAAACAGTGGTCCAAAAGCTTCATCAAAATCAGCATAATCCGGTTTAAGTAAGAAAAACTCAATGAAAGCATTGAACCCCAGTGAGCGCCGCAAAGAACTGCTCCTTGCGAAGATGAAGCGAGAAGAATTGGAAAACGACTTGTAGCAACATTAAGACTGAAACAACAGGAAGCCATCATCAAAGAGCAACGGCATTAGATTAAAATTGAACAAAAAAATGAACTTTTTTTTTGAAATTTCAGAAGTTGATCGTCGTTCTGAACTTGATTGGGTTGATCACGCACTAAAATTGATAGTGCGTGATCGCGTACAGAAAGTGGTACGCATCAAAACAGAAATGTGTCTTTAGCGGCAAATTCCCTTCGGAAGTCATCATCGAATCAGACTCGTAGTTTCTGACCAATAAAGCTGCACTTTACGAGAACAATACAACGCTTTTTTCCAGCTCTACCAGTGGGTATCATTATACCGGTATGTTGTAACTTCTCTGTACCCCATCCTTCGATTTTGATACAACATATCCCTGTCAACAACTTTAATAACGTTGCCGTCAAAAATGGTAAAAACGTTAGAAACTTGCCCACCATCTCCAGTCAATAATCTGGTTACACCACTCATGGCATCTGCGAAATCAAACTTTGCTACCAAATATTTTTTATAGAACCCTTCGGCAATGAATAAACCGTTCAGCGGACAGTTTGCCGTTATTAGTCAACCGAACGTGCCTCTAAGGTCCCAGTGGACACCCGCAGTCGCCCAATGTAACACTGGTGCAATAAATAATGGTAACACGAACTTGTCAGTTAACCCGAAAAATCTCAACATCAATTCTCACCGGTACCAAGTGGTGGTGCCGCTTAATGTGGATTACCCAATCACGACGCATCAGCTGAAAACACTTATGCATATCAGCAGCAACGTTTTGCAGCTAATCCTAACTAAAAATTACCTCGGGGTAAATTTCAACCATAACGCAATAAACGTCCGTAAAACTTGTCTGTATCAACTTGATCGCTATCTGTCTAACCGAAGCGACATTGTTATCCGTCACGACGCCGTTAATAACTCTATTAGTAGACACCGTGAAAATGTTACCGCATTAATACCTAATCAGCTTAACAAGATTCTTTTAGAAAATAAACATATTATTCACGCAATCGCTTACTGTAAACGTTTAGTCACGAAAGATATTTACATCAAGTTGAAAGAGTCAGGTATACAAAATATTAGTATAGTAACATTCCCGATATCTAGAAGGAAGCAGAACCTCACTGAGTTTTGGCGAAAGCATTCACAGTAACATCAGGATCCCTCGCTAGTAATGAAAACGTTTACAATCCTAAGGCGTTTTGGCAATGATATTAAGTATAGTAATTCAATGGAAAAAAAACTCTAACCCAGGAAAACGCAAGCGGCAAGCTAGAAGAAACAGAAAAACTGCTAAACTACGAGTACAGATAAATGTTTCAAAAAAGAGTGATTTTGTTTCTTGATAGATAATCTAATTCTTGTGATACCAAAATTAAGGTGGGCAATTGAGTGGAATGAGCGAGTATATAAGTATTCAAAATTACAGAACAATCGGAGTTACATTAGCAAAATTTGATGAAAGGTAGGGCATCACTAGAAAAAGAACTTCCCGTAGCGCAGAGTCCAATAACTGAAATTTTTCAAGGTCCAGTTGAAAAACGAAAAGAAAAGTTTTAAACGAATCTTGCAAGAGCCTTCACGAAAAAGCATTAGCTACGAAAGATGAATATGTGGTATTAGTTAAAAAAGCTGATGAACCCAGCAAATCATTACCGGAGTTGGCTGCTTGATGCGACATGATACTTTGAGTAAACGATGAAGTTACCAGTAAAGCTCGCCCTCATTTGGAATCTAATCCGGCTTTAGTGGTCTGTGTCAGTGAAAACAGTGGTCCAAAAGCTTCATCAAAATCAGCATAATCCGGTTTAAGTAAGAAAAACTCAATGAAAGCATTGAACCCCAGTGAGCGCCGCAAAGAACTGCTCCTTGCGAAGATGAAGCGAGAAGAATTGGAAAACGACTTGAAGCAACATTAAGACTGAAACAACAGGAAGCCATCATCAAAGAGCAACGGCATTAGATTAAAATTGAACATAAAAATGAACTTTTTTTTGAAATTTCAGAAGTTGATCGTCGTTCTGAACTTGATTGGGTTGATCACGCACTAAAATTGATAGTGCGTGATCGCGTACAGAAAGTGGTACGCATCAAAACAGAAATGTGTCTTTAGCGGCAAATTCCCTTCGGAAGTCATCATCGAATCAGACTCGTAGTTTCTGACCAATAAAGCTGCACTTTACGAGAACAATACAACGCTTTTTTCCAGCTCTACCAGTGGGTATCATTATACCGGTATGTTGTAACTTCTCTGTACCCCATCCTTCGATTTTGATACAACATATCCCTGTCAACAACTTTAATAACGTTGCCGTCAAAAATGGTAAAAACGTTAGAAAGTTGCCCACCATCTCCAGTCAATAATCTGGTTACACCACTCATGGCATCTGCGAAATCAAACTTTGCTACCAAATATTTTTTATAGAACCCTTCGGCAATGAATAAACCGTTCAGCGGACAGTTTGCCGTTATTAGTCAACCGAACGTGCCTCTAAGGTCCCAGTGGACACCCGCAGTCGCCCAATGTAACACTGGTGCAATAAATAATGGTAACACGAACTTGTCAGTTAACCCGAAAAATCTCAACATCAATTCTCACCGGTACCAAGTGGTGGTGCCGCTTAATGTGGATTACCCAATCACGACGCATCAGCTGAAAACACTTATGCATATCAGCAGCAACGTTTTGCAGCTAATCCTAGCTAAAAATTACCTCCAGCTCCTCAGCCGCAAGTCATGACTCTAAATAACCGAGTCCAAGCTTTGTCAGTCCTCAAAAAAGATCTTGTTCCCGAATGGGCGCTGGCCCAGTACGATGCAATGGCAGTCCGCTCCAAATGGTTCGGCCAGTTGTGAAGTACTGTAGACGCAGCATCCTTAGGCGATGATGTGAAGTTAACTTATTTAGAGAACCTAGTCACTGGAAAAGCTAAGTTAGCCATAGCGGGGTTCCTATACAGTGGAAGAAAGTACAAAGATGCTCTGAAAATAAAAGAAAGAAAAATGGGCGAGCCAGAAAACGTGATTACGGCCAACCTTGAGGGTTTTCAAGTTTCTCTCAACTCAGAATGCATAAATCTGTGAACATCATCAGCATCTCGATGACCATTTCCAGTTTGATGGCTGTTTTTAAGTCACTTGTTTATGAAGAAGTTTAAAAAACATATCTTTTGTTAAATCAAGCTCTTGTAAAAATAGGGTCAAACATGAGAAAAATGTGGTCGCTTTTGTCGTGAATAATAATTGATCACGCCCGAAGCTAATTGACTTTAACATTTTGTTAAAGGATAGAGCAGAGGCTCATGAGCAGTTGAAAAATATGCCCGGAAAGCTCAATGTCGAAGAAACATTATAAACTGAAGCTGTAACGAGAGTTTTTGCCTCGACAACTACATTGAAAAAAGTTTGAATATCCATCATGGGTAGTCTGAAAGGGAATGCGTGCCTTGTGGAAGTGCGCTGTGTTTAAATGGAAAACAGAAAACACCAAAACTACGAGCAAAGTTCTCGGCGGAAAACAAATTGTGATCAATCTGCTTACAAGGGAGCCACGCATCCCTGCAGTGTCCTCGAGCAAAGAATTGCACCAAGCCAGGTTGCACTAGCACCCATAATGTACTTCTCCTTGGTGCTGAACGTGTATACCCTAGTCCAAACCCCAAAAAAATTGACATCACGCAAGCCCCAACACTGGTCAAACAACAGCTAATGCAGACCCGAATAGAGCGAACACAAACGCTGATAGAAAATCTTTCAGCAAGAGTATACCAAACGCAAGTTCGAATCATGCAGACACCAATTGCGCTCCATTGGATGAAAGTTTCGCAATCTCGAACGGCCATTCATCAATCATAACATCGAAAGGGTTACTACCCATAATCAAACTGCAAGTTTCCACCCACTATCAGAGTGCTGATTGTTTAAAAATGTGTGACTCAGCATCTATGATTCCTGAATATCGACTTAAATAGTCAAACGGTTAAATCTTTCTGGTAGTCATTTGAACTCGTAGTGAATGGTATTACCACAACGACTGTTTCTAGAATGAAAAAAGGTCAGATGAAGGTAAAGTCTAACTTGGATGCATTCGAAACCAAACTCTAATTAACCGCATTTGTCAAGGATGAACTTAAAGTCAGTACTGTTACCATCAACAACCCTGCCTTACAGAGCAAATATCCGTATCTTACCCCGATTGAGCCAATTATTTATAGTTACGCTGAAGTAGACTTAATAATTGGTCAAGATTCCTTCCATGCTTTTCGGTCCCAGGAGTTGTTTAAAAAATGAGGGAGATCCAAATGAAACGCCCAGCGCGGCCGCCTTCCGATAGGCTGGGTCTTGAGCGGGCCAATGCCAACATCTACAAATTTCCTTTCCACGCGTTTCAAGTGCAAAACACATGATACGAAACTAGCTGGTCAAATAAAACGCTGGTTTGAAATAGAGCCACAAGGTTCATACAAACAGGTCGACTCCCATTCTGCCGCGGACAAGAGGGCGGCTAAAATTCTTGATTCATCCACTGTCAATGATGAATCAAGATATACTGTACGTACGCTCTGCGCAGAAGAAACTATCATGTTGATATACAACTACTCTTCGTCTTTGGTTCAGCTAAAATTGTTCGGAAAAACGTCTAGCAAAAGCTCCTCTCATACAGAGTAAAAACTCAAAATATTATCGAAGATGATTTGAGTAAAGGACACGTGATTCACTTCTCCCCATAATTTTTCTAGCCGCAGCATACGCGAATGGTAATTTCCTGATCATCCCGTGATGAACCCAAACAATCCTGGTAAAGTGAGGAGTGTCCTAATTAGAGCGTCTAAGTTCCACGGTACGTCATTGAAGAAATCGTTGCTAGTAGGACCCGACCTACTGCAAAACATTGTATTTGTTCTTCTCCCTTTCCGTCAACATCATGTTGCCGTATCATCTGACTTTGAAGTAATGTTCTGCCAAGTCGGAGTCTTTTCAGAGGGCCAACCTTCCCATCGTTTTCTATGGCGGGAGGGCCTTACAGCTGATGTGGTTGTTATCTTTGGTGCAAGAGCTTTGCCGAATTGTGCGAATTGTCTTTTGCAACGCAATTAAATGGATAATCAGGCGGTGTTTTCTGATGCAGCGTCCGCGAGAATTTTTTTTATGGACGACTATCTAGAAATTTTTGAGGATCCGGATGTTACGTTTAAACTGAGTCCAGACTTTTTTACTTTGTTAGCTCTAGGTGGGTGAAGTTAACTGAGCTCATATTTAACGTCAAAAAACTTAATATTAAGTTGAACCCGCCCAAAAGCGCTCCGCGACAAGAATGTAAAAATATTGTAAATTGTGGAGATAGGCCTTCAAATGTTCTTGATCTGAAAGGGGACGATATCGACGACACTTTGTGAACTTACATTTCAAAAACACAGCGAACGGTGCTAAGTTTTGTATTTTCCGTTTTCGTAAGTTCCGTTTTCGGCCCATAGGTTTCGTAGCGCCCTATTGCGCAGGGCGCATTTTTTGTTGAAAGAAATTTGGCGCATTCACGGCCAAGAATGGGATGATCAGAGAGAGTTGATATCCAAGAGAAAGTTTCTTGACTGGCACTCTAGGTTGCCATCTCTAGGAGAACTGAGTATAAACCGCAGCTACTTCACCGCACCAGTTGAATGTGTCGAATTACACAAATTTGGTGACAGCTCAGAAGAAGCGTTTTGTGCTGAAGCTTTTTTTCGCGCCCATGTGAAAAGTTCACTCGAAACACAAGTTTCTTTCGTCTTTCCGAAAGCAAGAGTCGCGCCCATGAAAGCGCTTTCCATACCGCAGCTTGAACAGCAGGCCGCATTACTCGCTAGCCGCTTGAAGGAAGATAAGCTCAAAGCTCTAAACGGTCCTGTGTAAAACACTTTCTTGTGCACTGACAGCACCACTGTGCTCCATTGGTTAAACTCAGGTAGTAAGCAACCCAATTTTGTGGCAAACCGGAATGGAGAAGCTTTGGAAAGTAGGGATATCCCAGTTGATAGAGAATTCAGAGGAATCTCAGCGGAGTCATTAAAAACGAGCAGCTGCTTGAATGGGCCAAGTCTATTGAAAAAATGGGAGTAACTTTTCAAGCCCAGCATACAAGTACTTAGAATGGTCCGCGAGCTGGTCTCGCCTGTAACATTAACAAGGGCTTAGAGCAGACTTCTAAATTTTCAGAGGATGTGCAAAATCAAAAACAATCCATTAAATTTGCAAGGGCAGAATTCAGCTCCCTTCATAGACTCTAGCTAGTCGTTGCTTTCTTGCTCAAACTGAAACCGAAACAACGACTCTAGCGCAGTAAAAGCAACAAAACAATCAATCCGGCTGAATTAGAAACCGCGAAACAACGATTTTTGTTGCTTTCCTAGAAGGAACTTTTCGAGGCGGAATATTTACTCCTGTCCGCGACAAAACTGTCAAAAATTGTAGCCGTATCGTTCAGTGTGCACATTTTATTGGTCCTGTTCGCTTCATTTGGTTAACAGGGCGAATTAGCCACCTAGTTAAAATTGACGATGACACCAAAGCACCCTTGATGGAAGGCATGCTCTCGTGGAATTGTTTGTTAGTGATATTCACTACGTTACCAGCACCAGCAATTTTAAGACCAACTTCCAGCTGTAATTTTTTTTAGAGTTCCAATCATGAGTCTCCGCTTGTTTTTAAATTCCACTGAACACCACTGCATTGCATGTAGGAAGCGCAAAGCCAAAATTATCACACCTATTATGGCGAAGCTTCCAGTTGAAAGGCTTGTTTACCAGCCATCGAAAGCAATATATACGAGCGCAAATGTACGCCAACGCACTTTGGAGTCATTGACATCGAGATTATGTGCGCAGCAATTTACGCAGCAATTTGCACCTGAATAAGGTACCTGAAAAACTCAGCAGGTAGCGCTGAATAAACCCAGCAAAAGGCAACCCGACAGTGGTTTTATATCAAAAACAGGGGGTTTACTAAGAGTTGTTGACGAACGCACTCTATGGGGAGACTAGCTTTTAGCTCGTATTAAACCCTTAAATACAGAAAGGGCAATAAAGTCCTATCCGCTGTAGCCATGACCAGCTCCGGGAAGCTAATTCGACCGACCGTAAAAGTCGCACCCATTTTCGCACTTTTGCGAGCGGATGATGATCGCGCATAAATTAATGACGTTTTTAATGGCACAAAAATTAAGAAGCTAAAACAAAGTTTTTTAAGACCAAAAGCCTTGTCAAAACCGGTTTGTCCAATTAAGGTCAGTTTGCCATCAAAAATGTTTACAGATTCTTGAGAACAATTTCAATTCATGTTAAAGGAAAACAAGTTTTCCTGATTTTTTTCACTTATTAATTATTCAAGGTTAACCTGTTTAGATTTGCCGATAATTTACAGATGTTGAAAGAGATTTCTTAGCCCGAGTCTTACAGGATACAAAAGAGCATCGCAGTTTTTACACCTTACTTTGTTGTACATTAACACAAAAGAAAAACCTATACACAATAGACACTTTTACTCTTACTTAAATGCAATTGTTAATACCAAAATACAATCAAGCCTACATTATGCATGCAGACGTACATCAATGTATAGCTACATATTCAACGAGTAGAAATACAAACAGATGGACGTACAACAAAAATTAATCATTCAAGCAACCTTGCATCATCACAGAAAATTACAAAAAAACGTTCATGCTCATAATTTTCTTTGAATACATGCAGGACAAAATTTAACAAAAAGAAGAGAGTTGTGCAATGAAAGTGATGAACTATTTGGCTGATTGGTGCTTTTAGTATCGATTTCAGCTACTTTCCAACAGCACATTATATAAGAAACACTAAATAAGCGGGACTCATATCTTGGTACCATTGGAACAAATGGGACTCAATTCACTATAGTTTAGTATCGAAGGCATTTTTTTTCTGGAAATATAATCTTGACAAAAAAACTTTTTTTTGGCACTTGGAATCTGTTTTCTTTTCGTTTCTTATCAAGTTACATTACATAAAAATTTTGATGATGTTAGCGTATAGCATAGCTGAGTGTGTATAAAACAATATACTAGGTTAGTAGAATGAATA